GCAAAACTATGTGTTTAAATTGAGTCCTGCATGTGGTATCAGAATGGTGTGTATAGTAGTGAAAGTTGGCTGCACATTTTTCACCTGTTCATCTCTTGCATGTGTTCATTTCTTTTTTAAATGAGTTTAAGAGTAAAAAGCCTGTTGTTGCTAGACAATAAGTAGTACAATGTTGTGTATTTTATGGCAGGCAAAAAAGGTTTCATGAAATCAAAGCAGTTTAATAGATAAATGTTCAATTTATACATGGACCCATCAACATACAGGCAGTGTCCAGTATACATTTCATTAGGAAAAGAAAAGATGCATCTCAACCAAGTGAGCATTTTTACTTCTTTTTTCTCCTTTTTACATGAGCAGTAGATAAGCTGTCTCGTAATAAGATGTGCAAAATTTTAGGCGTTAAAATCAGAAAGGCTGAAAGTTGTTTTTTTCTTGCCTTTCCCACTTAACTCTTGACACCATCACCCACATTTTGTTTAATAGTCTGTAGATGCAAAATACTCTCAGTCTCCAGTCCCCAGTTCGGCCTCTGTATGCATTTTTCACATCAGTAGCTTCCGTGAGCATTCACGCGTTTGTCTCGCATTCAGCACATCTGTCCCTCATGAATAAAAAAAAAAAAATGACTGTACATTTATATACAGCATGCCACTACAGTGTATCAGTGTTCCCCACCCAGGAGGAAAGGCATCATTACCCAGCATGCCTCTCTGCCAGAGGGCAAAGGGCAGGGGCCACAGAAGCTGCCACTCCACCATTAGGTGAAGCCAAAGGCAGGTGGAGCAGAGAGTAAGAAGGACAGCAGGTGCCGCGCGTGTCGCTGCTGGCTGTGTGAGTTTAAACAGGCTGCCATATGTACCCCCCTGGAAAATGTCAGTACTTAGCTTTATAATATTGTAAGGAGAGGCAGTCATCTGACAGCGCTGGCACTAACTGGTGCCGAACGACACAGGGAGTTCCCTTTGCCTGTTTGTTAGCACATTCAAATAAGACGCTCTTCCAGGTTGCATCTTTAAATAAAGGTGTAATAAACAGATAACTTATTTCGACTGTGTAAAAGTACGTTCATGGTCTTGACACACCCGTAAACTGCCAGTAATTTGTAGCTTTATTCAATTTACACACAAGTAGTTAATATCTTCTTCAATAATCTGATACAGAATACATGAAGAAACTGACCATTGTTTGTATGGTATGTTATCAGCAGTTGCAGTTGTATATCTGTGTGTTTTCTTTATCTGTAAGCATGCTTATTTATTTGCATGTAGCTGTGTTTGGCTTTCGCGGTCTTTCCATGACCATACAAAGACTGGGTGAGCACATACTTTACAAGAACATTGGTTCTTGTCTGTGGGTTCTGCGTCAGTGTGGTTGTTTCTCATTGACGCACTGTAGTCTCTCAAATGCACAAGCCTTTGCATAGTGCTTTGGGCCCATGGGTTTGCCAGGAAATGTACTGCGCACAGCCGTATCCATCAACCAGGAGCCATAACCTTTGGGACTCTGGGCTGATATGTTGGGAGAGATTTAATGAGGAGTGGGAATCAGAACAATGTCCCTTCAGGTAAGGAAGTCCACTCGTCAGCTTTTTACATTTGAATTTTAATTTGTGAATTAAATTTTCACACTGTGTGGTTAGGCCATTCTTTCGAGTTTAAACAAACTGCTATGACTTATGTAATACATAAGTCATGTTTTTTTTTTCCTAAAATTACGACTCCAAATGAAACTAGTAGAATGTATAACACAGAATTTGAGGCTTTGATGAGTCTTAGAGTGTGCTCAACATTTGAGAGCTGCCCTTTGGAGGACCAGTAAGAAGGGAGAGTGCTGCTACGACAGTGTAGGGTGCCTTAGCAAAAACAGCCACTGCCTTAAATGACACAGTTCATCTAATTTGAGGCTTTCAGTCTTTGGACTTTAATCCTTCAGATACTGTGCCGAAAAAAAATGCATAGACACACAGTGACTTCCCCTTTCCTGCTCCTGTGAGCTGAACAGCGCCCCCCTTGATGAATGCTACTTTGGCTTATGTGTCTTGTGGGTGGCTGTGGAATTGCAAGTTGTCAATGTTCATCGTTCTGTAATGTAACTTGCATGGATATTACGGAGACCAAGAAAACACGAGACATGGGGATATTTTAGAGAACATGAGGATGCTTTAGACAATGAAAGGATATTTTTCTAAGGAATAATGTGGAAGTAATGTGCAGGCAGAAGGCACATTTCCTCAGTGTAAAAGAGATTTACTTCTAATAAGACAACTGAAACAGTGGACAGAATGTTAACAGCCATTAAAGCACTGATACAGATAAACAGTGTATAATAAGATTAAAAACAGTTTGTCATATAAAGATAATTTGTTATGTTATTTCAATTTATTTATTCATTGATGAAACATAGCTGCCCATTTGTGTTCTGAACACAATCCCTAGGGCAAGTAGGAGACTATAAAGACAAATATAGTTTTGGCCCCAGCAGAGAACACAGGAGAGCAGGAAAAAGGAGGGAGTAAAGTTGGTTAGAGAATCACAAAGCTGTTTGTGTACTAATGGTGCCTGTAGTATGGTACAAGCGCATTTATGAGGACATGTACAGTGCTTTAAAAATGTGCTGTTCCCGTGCTGAAGTCTTGAAAACTGTGCTTATCTGTCTTGCGCTATAAAAGAATGTATACAATCTTCATTACTCTATTATTGCTGAAATACTTGGATATGACTCCAGTATTGCATCTGTTTAGATTTGCGATTGGAGCGTATGAATTTGATGCGTTTGGCCTGTGGATAACTGCAGAGACACACTATGAAACACTGAGGGACAAATGAAACGCAGGGTTTTCAGCAACACTTTTATTATTTTGAACAGCAAATTCTGAATGTGCATATGCATACCATGAGCTCACAGAACACAGATGTGACAGTGTGTTCAACATGGTTAATCATATGTGGGTTCTCAGGACTGAAGTTCAGGTGCTGGGTCATGAAAATAACTCTCATTGTTACATAGAATTACTTTCAGTCTTAAATATACATCAGTATTGTACAACTACTGCTGAAAATAGCTAGTGTGTGTGAGTGTGTGTGTGTGTGAGAGTGTGTGTGTGAGAGAGAGAGAGAGAGAGCTGTGTTGAGACATGATGCTGTCTGTGTCTCTGCATGTGGATGACTGACAGTGAATATGAATATGAATATTTGTTGTTGAATATTTGCACGCTCTTTTACATCTGTATGTGAAAATCCTGAAAGAATAAGGGACACTCGTAAGTTTACATCAAAGGTACAGGCTTTATGGTTTTATCAGCACTTTCAGTATGCGGCCTGAAAATATTTTAGGTAGCACAGTTTTCATGTGTACATGTTCGTAACCTCATTCCTCAGCAGGGAATTACTTTATTTTAATTAGAGACAATGTTATTTATATTAGGGCTGAAGATGTTGAAGGAGTATTGGGGATTGAAGTGAAATTTGTAGTCTTCTTGTGTGCTGAAGTCACTTTCACCTTTAATGGAAAAGTTGTGTCTGTGGCACACTCAAAATTTTATCTTATTCTGTTTACACATTCCAGTACTACTTTTGACAGGTGAAAAAATCAACAACTAGTTACTATATGGAAAATGATCTTCTACTGACAGCAAAACATAATTTATGGATAGATTTGTCCTCCTCTGTTGCCTTCATATTTAGCTCTGTGTTCAATGTTTTTGATTTTAAAACAGCAGCTGTTGGTGACAAATTGTTCATGTTTATACACGTATAAAATTAAATGTGTAGGTAAGTGAAACTATCACCTGAATTTTTTCCTCTCCATCTATCTCACTGTAACCAGGGTTTACTCTGGCTAAGCAAAGCTTATTGAAAATGTGTTTAGGCTATGATTAGTTAATCTTTTACCTTACAAAAGGCTTCTTAATTTGTGTACACAGCCGGTCCACCTCTGACATTGAGCAGGGGCAGTGTTCATCTCTGGTGTTCTGCCCATGAATATGATTGGTTACATATCACTAATTGTCTTTGAATGACTTTCACAACTAACTAACCGGTGCTCACCTAAGCCGACGTCTTAAAGTAGTAAATGCGTGATGCTACCCACCTCCTGTTTCTCCTGTAGAGAAACAACCCCAAATCTGCATCTGAACTCACACACGAGATCTGACGTCCTGCAAGAGCGTTTTTGATTGCTGTTACGTGATACGAGTTTGAGAAAACCCTGCTAATAGGCGTTTGTTTTTCCTCCTTTCCCGCAGCCCCCAAGTTTGAACTCTGCTGAAATGAGGAAACGGCAGCAGCCACACATCGAAGGCCCCCCCCAGGGCCCGGGACACCCTAGGCCCAACACCTGCTGCTTGTGCTGGTGCGGCTGCTGCAAATGCATGTGGTACGTTGCACCTACGTTTCAGATATGTTACACTTACGTTACATTACCTTTTCACACTGCTTTATGTTGCACAAATGTTTTCCATGTATATGGTCGTATTCTTAGTATATTTAAATAAACAAAAATTTGGCAGTAATGATATCTTATAAATATTTGACATATTCCCATAAGCTAACCTTTGCTCAGGAAGGCAACAGTAATGCGTGTAACTGCATTTTGTCCTAAAAAGGAGGGATTTCCCATTTCCACAAAGTGATGAAAACATGACTTCATGTGAACAAAAAGATCTGATTAAGAAAAAATATATATTTAAGGGTTATGATGCATTTTAATGGAAAACACTCCACTGTGTTCACTGCTGTCTCATACTTCCAGACTTCCAGACTCCTGATTCTGCTGTCCTGTTACTCTGTGTTTCAGGCACAGAAAATTGGGATTGTGTCAGCTTTAGTGGTGGCAGAATTGCGTTGACGTAGCTATGCTCAGAGTGGAGTTTTGCTTCATGGGGTAGCACAGTTGCTGATTTCATCATATTCATTGTAGGAAAAGGGTTACACAGCAGTTTTGTGTGCAGAGCATGTATAGAGTATCGTTTAAGTCATAATTTCTTGCTTCTTAGGGGTTGCATTGTAGCATAGTGGTAAGGTGCAGGGCTTGTAACCAAAAGGTTTCTGGTTCAATTCCCTGCTGAGGCACTGCTGTTGTATCCTTGGGCAAGGTACTTAACCCGGAAATAACTCAGCAGATATCCAGCTATATTAATGGCCAATATATAAAAAATTGTAACCTATGTAAGTCGCTCTGCACAAGAGTGTCTGCTAAATGCCAATACTGTAATGTAATGTACGTGTGTTAAGTGATTGTTAGATAACTTTGCACAGCTTTGTAAAAGAAACATAAATATTCCAATATATTTTAATGATTAAAAACATATCTGTATGTTTTACTCTGTAATATTATATCACAGAAACATGTTCGTATAATGTTGTTATTCATGTTTATGTGCTCCTCCTACACATTCGGTCTGTCATTGTGTTCTGTGTTTCTAACACAATGCCGACATTCAGTCACATGGTTTGCATACATCCCATTGTGTGTAGTGTGATAACTTACTGGATGTTGGCTTTGGGTCAACAAAGTTTGAATAATGCAGTCTAATAGTAAAATACATAGATAAATAGTCCTTAGATGACATTATGTGTTTGTGGAAATATCAATGTCATCCAGACTAAAGGGTAGAAACTGACTCTTAATCAGTTTAGAAAGGAAGTTTAAAAATTAAAAAAATAAAAATACAGTAATAAGTAGGTGATGTGCATTTCACTCTGTGACCTACAGCTTTGATGTTCAGTACCGTTCGAATGGCTGCATTAGAGACAAACTACATGATGTGTTTTATTATTTAAATGACTCGAGCAGTAGGGATGGACATGGAGTTGACTGCAGAATGTTTCGAGGGATGTCTGTTCACTGCTGCTGCTCTTGTCCTTCTGCCGCATGCTGCGGTTTGACCCCTGGAACGTTTGCATACAGCCGAATCATTTCCACGTTCACAAACAGGGCAGGCAAACAAGGCAACAAAGCAAATGGGAGGACTGATATTGCGGCCATTAGATATGCTTAAACTGGCAAGGAAAACATTAATCTCTCTCTACATAACGAAAGGAAAACATATTCGGAGGCTCTGTAGTGTTCCGGGAGGAAGCACCAGAACCACTGGGTCAGGTTAACATTTTCAGGATGTAATTAGATTAGATTTAAAGGGCATAAACCAGAAATGCTGTGATTAGCTGCAGCAATGAAAAAGTGAGATTAGCACAGGGATACAGAGCATGTTTCAGCACCTTGGCTTTGAGGGTTGAATGGCTTGGTTCACGTGAGGTTAGTGATAAGCTTGCTGTGGAGAGGTTCTGTAATGTATAATTACCATGAAAGCTGGTGGTTATAAGACCTTCTCTAGACTTTGGTAGAGTCGCCAATTGGTCTGTCTTGAGGTGACATTGACAAAATGTTGCAAAGCAAATGACATTGTATACATATACATATATGACAATGCTGTGAAGTTTTCTGAGGATTCTGAGTTTCCTGATTGTGGATGTTAACATATTTGTATTTGTGAGATGCATGGTGTTAAACTGCTCCTCTGCCAGGGACGTGTGTGCGGTGAAGTGTGCGGTGCATTCGGTCCAGTGGGGCATGTGGTCCGTTTGGAGCCTATGTGGGGGGGGGGGTGTGGGGAAGGCCTCGTCCCAGTGGAAATGGATTACAGCACGGCAGTACCAGGCCAGCACTGCGCTATTTATAGCAGTGGAACTAACACAAATACTACATGAAAATAATGAAAACATTGAGAAAGCAGGCCCACCCCCCCAGTTCTGTTTGGAAAGCAGTGTTTCCACAACCGTTCTCAATTAAGTAGTGCCATTATCTAGTCTGCGAGCAGCTATTTCCAGCCGCACATCACATGCAAAACAGCTGTGCTGAACATGTTATATATTTAGAGGCCTCTCAGCATGTGTGACCCCTCTGGCTAGCGGGCCCAGCTACGCAGCACAATAGAGACTCTAATGCAGATCCCGAAGACTCAGTAAAATTCACCACTGGGAGGCTGAAGCTTACTGAGCGTGTGTGTGTGTGTGTGTGTGTGTGTGTGTGAGTGTGAGTGTGTGTGTGTGTGTGTGTGTGTGTGTGTGTGTGTGTGTGTGTGTGTGCGTGTGAGCGTGTGTGTGTGTGCGTGTGAGCGTGTGTGTGTGTGTGTGTGTGTGTGAGTGCGTGCGCGTGAGTGTGTGTGTGTGTGTGTGTGTGTGTGTGTGTGTGGGGCGGTTTCCCGTGTGCGCTGGCAAAGACTGATGGGAGGGAATGCACAGCCCGAGGGCCGCCGAGTTTGACAAACGCAAACAAAAAAATGAATTTTGGAGGTTTTTTTTTCCCAAAGCAAACAGCCACTTTTTGATTGTCAGAGGCAAAGCGGAATTTTGTTCCTATCCAGCCGCTGTTATTGTTGGTGTTGCTGGGGTCCCCTGGTGACAGAGAACAGCACTGTGCCACTGTGTCAGAGTGTTAGGGATGGTTTGGTGCAGAATATAGAAAATGCTGACAAACTTACATAGGGCCACGTGAAGGAACCCGATATCCCTGAATTTCCTTCTTAATACAAAAGAAGGAATACCCTGTGAACACATTTGTATAGTAATGTAGTATTATTAATATTATTAATGCTAAGAATATTAGTATTAATACTTTCAGTCTAGATCAGAATGGATCCTTAATTAGTCTAATATAGTTTGTAAAAATTCTTAGTGACCGTGCAGCTACTTCTGTTGACATCTGATGGCTCACAGCCTGGGAGATCCATTTCTAATCTATAAAAATTCTTCAACACATGGCATTACTATTTTATAAAGCATACCTGAAGAATAGTGCTTTATGATGTCTAACACAGTGATATAATGAATGTTATATAAAAGGAGTGCTTTGACAGAAAAAGAACTTAGATTCAATTCGGTTAAATGATTCAGTTTTATGTAATAATGAGGCTTATGCATTTAATCACATCAATATATTGTGGTAGATTTGGAGACGTGCTGATCTCCCTCACTGTGTGTATTGGAAATGTGTTTATCCTCCTCTGACTTTGTGTGTGGCAACGTGCAATGTGCAAACTGATTGTGTTTGCAAGACGTACTGATCTCTCTCTGACAGTGTGTGCTGAAGATGTGCTGATCTCCCTGGCTGTGTGTATTGGAGACGTGCTGATCTCTCTCTGACTGTGTGTGCTGAAGATGTGCTGATCTCCCTGGCTGTGTACATTGGAGACATTCTGATCTCCCTCTGGCAGGAACGAAGACAGAGTGGAGCACGCTGAACGGCAGACCTGCACAAAAATGGATAGCATTGAAGCAACAGAAGAGCGGTGAGTATCCAGTTACACAAGGCTGGAGCTGCGCGGACAATTCATCAGCGCATATTACAACACAACCGCACTCTGAGCGCAGCATTGTCGAGGTGAAAAGTTTGTATTTCTTCTATTTGGTGTGAGGCTCGGCTTGACTGTAACGAATCTGAGGGTTAAAGCAGTTGAAATGGCAGTGCGTGGAGTGATAAGGACCCTTTCCGTAATTACTTTAAGCTCCTTTTGTTTAAAACCTGCCCTGTGAATATATTTGTATTGTGTTGGAGTATTTGTGAGAGAATCTGAGATCCTGAGGCTGTTCTTCTAGATGACAGCCTAAAAGGTTAGCTTTTATTTAGGTTGGTGGGGTCCTTTATTTGGAATTCCTCTCCTACAAGGTCTCAATTGAGTAGCATTAAGTTAGGTTACTATTTCAGATCTTGTAGATTTGACCTGCAATATGCATCTTATAAATGTTTAACAACATAGTTAAATTTCTTGTAAGATTAATTTCTTATTAATTCCTACATGTAATAAGTGCATAGGAGCTTTTTTTCTCCCTTTCGTGTAATAGTATATGGGTATTATTGTGTGTTCAGCAGCTAAAATGCACCGAGAAGTCATCTGAGATGTGTTTACTCATGATCTGGAAGGGTGGTCCCCTCTGACTTGTTAGAGAAATTACAGCCTGTACCAAACAATGACAACCTCTTTAAATACTTTCTGAATTAATACAAAATGCACAAATGCATCTAACCATTCTGTGTTACAAAAACTCTGCTGTGCTATTTCTGTGTGTTGATGTAAGTTTTTAATATAAAAAGATGTCTGGGTTTTAGATCTCATCATAACACTGGGGTATTTTTGGTATTTGAGCCTCTCACAAAAGATGGTTCGTTTTGTTTTCTTGCTTTGCTGTGTCAATAAATGGTCCTCTCTTTGAAAATGCAGCTCTCTCTCTCTCTCTCTCTCTCTCTCTCTCTCTCTCTCTCTCTCTCTCTCTCTCTCTCTCTCTGCTGTATTAGCCAATTAGAGCATGAGTTTCAGCCTCTTTCCTACTCTTGGCGAGTTGACTGAAACAGCTGTTCACTCTGAAAGTGTGTTACAGCTCTGAAACCCAAAGGTTGAAACCCAGCTTAATACAACAAATGCAGACGTAAATGCTCCAGTATCTGACAAATCCTGCTTTAGAACCAGCATATCTCATATTGTGACTGTTCATATGGAGCTTTTGCATTGTGTCTGTGTATTTGATTTCTCCCAGGCTGTACCCAAAGCTTTGGTTCTTCTAAGTCGCACTGAAAGGTGAAAGTCACGATTTCTCTCCCCCTCCCGTTGTGTGTTTGCGTAGGCCCCCCACTCTGGATGAGGTTCTCTCCTGGTCCCGTAGTTTTGAGAAAATGATACACTCCCCAGAAGGAAGGGACATTTTCAGAGAATTCCTGCGATCGGAGTACAGCGAAGAGAACCTGCTGTTCTGGCTGGCATGTGAGGAGCTGAAGAAGGAAACAAACCCAACTGCCATTGAGGAGAAGGCCAGGATCATTTACGAGGACTATGTCTCCATACTTTCGCCAAAAGAGGTAGAGATCGCGTGTCTGACCTTTTGCCGCAGCTCAGCCTATGGCCAGAGGTTCTGTTTAAGTTTAACATTTAGGTAAAGCACAAAAGCAAGGAGACAGGAAAAGCACAGAGCCTGTTGTCGGAATTGCAACAAATGCAGGTCAAATGCAGAAGTAATTCCTCATGTCTCAGCCAGAACCTGACTAATGTATGACCCTGTAGTATTACAATGGAGACAGAA